GTTTTGACCCCCCCCCCCCCCTGTGGTCCCCCTCAGGGATTGAAAAAAATTATTTTCATGGAATATTCGTGAAAGCACATCACTTATATGCAGTTTTATGTGCTGATTACGAATATCATATTTATATTTCGATTACATTAAGTTTTGTGTATGATAAACCTATTGTATTGCTAAATGGTCTATAGGTCAGGCTCCTATATATCTCCTATATATATTGGCCGATTTTTTTTTGAAGATATCAGTCTTTTTCCTTCAAAATATATGTAAATGAGTAAAAAGATTTGCTCTATTCGTTTCAAGTTGATTTAATTAAAAAACAATCAACAAGTGATCGAAATGACCAATACAACTTCGAGAAATCTTTCAAAAATCCATGATTCATTCTTTTATATACAGTTTTTGCACTATAAAATGGCCACGTGTCAAATAGTCATGTATACAGTCCGATGCAGTTTTTCATGCTCTATTCGAATATGAACTTTAAAAAATAAAAAAAGATGTACTTCACAATCAAAATCACGAAATACCGTCGGAAATGGTGTGTAATTACACTTATATTCATATTGTTACACACTGAACTGGTCGTAGTAACAACCTAATAGCAAAAATGCCGCAGCACATAATGCTACAATATGCACTTAGAGGAATAAACAGGTTTGTTAGCAATTACCATCAGCAATGTGTGTCTCAGTCGGCACGAAGAGCCCAATCTATCATCGACTGAAGTAGTTTTTTAACTTTTTATTTATTTTTATTTTTTTTTATTTTGTTGTAGTTCTCACATTAATTTAATTTCCTTTTTGAGAAGTTATCATTTATCTACTCATCATGAAACGAAAGAGTTAAATTAAAACTATAATGAGCATATCAGTCTAGTTTATTGAACAAAAATAACTTGAGGAAGAGAATGTCTTTGTCTACTGAGTTAACTATCTTTAATTTAGTGAGTTGTATTTACATAAGTTGCTTTTTTGTTACTGATGTGCTTTCAAGAATATTCCATGAAAATAATTTTTTTCAGTCCCTGAGGGGGACCACAGGGGGTCAAAACATGATTAGAAAGTGGTGCGAAACTAAGTAGTAGAAAACATTCCTAGTGACTCCCTGATACTATTTAGAAAGTTTAAAATTAAAAAAATCGTGGGACAGAAAATGATCATTCCAGCCCACATCCTTTGATCAAAGGTGATTGACATCAATGAATCTGAATCTGTGAATTGTTACTATAAAATTTGAGTGTCATTTTTTCTGTTCAAATGCAGTTTGTAGTATAAAACGATATGTTTTTAGCGCAGAAAATTCTCTCTTAAAAAAATTCTATCTTCTGTACTAAAAAGAAGACGTTTTCAGTAAAAAATAAAGCTCAAAATTTTGAGAAACTAACTAAAACTGCAAACTCCTCGACCTTGGTTAGCCTTAATGAAATAGTCAATAGTTTGTTATATTTCAACAATATGCTTTGCTTTAGAAGTGAGGATTCCTTGTTATTGTTATTACTAATGTCGGATTTTTTTTAAAGTATTAACGACCATTTTCTGAATAACTTTTGATTACTTTGAGTTATCGAGCTGCGGTTTTCACCATTCAAAAGAGCAAGCCGGGGGCTACAAAATCCTACTGATTTTGAATGGTCAAGCAATTGACCAACCAGGAGAACTTTTGCTGGACAGTTTGTGAGCTGCCTCGTGCTACTAATTTTCGTTCAATTTGAACTTTCAATGATATTAATCGATAGAGAAAATTGTTCTCTTTCGATCTACGCAAGGCCGAGCTCACGATGTCATTTTGTTCTGGAGTTATAAGCATTTTCCCAAGAGCTCCGAAATCAGCCAAATGATCTTCCATTAGGCTAAAATGGTTCTATATAGGGGTAACTTGCCACGCTGAGTCGAATGGTGATATTTGTTTTCCGTTTCATAGCTTTCTGAAGTTACTATATCAACATTCTCGAAAAAACCTCTTTACACGCTATACATCAGCAAATTGCTGAAATTTCGAGAATATTGATATGGTAACTTCAGAAAGCTATGAAACGGAAAACAAATATCACCATTCGACTCAGCGTGGCAAGTTACCCCTATATAGAACCATTTTAGCCTAATGGAAGATCATTTGGCTGATTTCGGAGCTCTTGGGAAAATGCTTATAACTCCAGAACAAAATGACATCGTGAGCTCGGCCTTGCGTAGATCGAAAGAGAACAATTTTCTCTATCGATTAATATCATTGAAAGTTCAAATTGAACGAAAATTAGTAGCACGAGGCAGCTCACAAACTGTCCAGCAAAAGTTCTCCTGGTTGGTCAATTGCTTGACCATTCAAAATCAGTAGGATTTTGTAGCCCCCGGCTTGCTCTTTTGAATGGTGAAAACCGCAGCTCGATAACTCAAAGTAATCAAAAGTTATTCAGAAAATGGTCGTTAATACTTTTAAAAAAATCCGACATTAGTAATGACAATAAAATAAACACTACATATCATTTCTACTTTCCTGTACAAAAAAAAATTAACAAAAAATTTTCAGAGACTGATTTCGGATTGAAATTCGTTAATCTCGATTACTTTTGTTCAAAATATATTAAAATTAATAATTCCTTTGAATTTGGCTTTCTTTGCTGAACTTAAAAAGCTTCTATTAATTGCGAGAGAACTGTATGTTGCGTTCCCGTTCTCAGGAACGGGGAACGGGATGGCGTTCCCCGTTCCCAGGTACGGGAACGGGATAGCGTTCCCCGTTCCCAAGAACTGAAACGGGGTAGCGTTCCCGTTCCTGGGAACGGAACGCAAAACTGACACCCCTAATTTTGACCTTCGAGATTGGGACGTTTCGAGATTTTGTTTTCGAGCTTTTTTCTTATGTCGAGATTTTTTTTCGAGACTTTTTCCTCGAGACTTTTACTTTCGAGATTCGTTTTTCGAGATTATTTTTCTCGAGATTTTGCCTTTCGGTCTTTTAACACTCCCTCATGCATAGGATCTCGTCTTTAATAATCCATATAACAAATCTATCTTGGATTTAGTTTTGACATTCTCCTAGATGAAGTCTATAATTTATCGACTATTCAAATATTTAACTAGTCCTTATCCAACAAGTAACGCTCGTCTATGTGACTCACTTGATCCTCGACTGTATTTTCAGCTATTTGATGTTTTAGCGTCAATCTCGTTGTGCACAATGGTATACGGGTCCGCGAATGAGCATTTTTGTCATAAAAACATTTGACAAAAAAACGGATTATACCCAATTTTCTGAAAGGCCACGAAGCAAAACGCTTTTATGACACTATTGTGAAACAGCGCCATACTCCTTGAAATTTCTACTAGAAATCCGGTCACTTACCAAAACAGCAGCCGATAATATTTATTACTGGGCTGTGCCCCACAACAATATGGGTTCAGCGGANAGATCTAGTCTTCAATCGAACTACCATACTTGAAAGAAGCTCCTGCTCAAAAGTGACAGACAGGGCTGTGGACCCATCACAGGCCGTGACAGGCAGGGCTCTGGACCCATCACAGATCGTGGCAGACAGGGTTCTAGACCCGTCTCAGACCGTGACCGACAAGTTTCAGGGTTCATTATGGACTGTGATATAGGACTTCAAGAAAATATCGGATATGATACATAACTAACATCTGATTGGAGTATATATAGAGTATTATACTGTTGAAACTAAATGATGTATGAGAAGCCATTATAAAGAAATATACATGAGGATGCATAAAAGAACAACAGCTTTTAGAATATCGGGTGTAGCAGCTACATCGTGTTTCACATTTTTTATCCCGAAAGGTATTGCGCTAACAGCTTTTTCATTAAATTCCAAAAGAGCCACAAACGTTCGGCGTAAACGAGAAAAAAGTCACTTTCTTCATCACTATTTTCATAAAATTGGCTAAATATGTCAATATTCACTTTCAGTTTCTTCTTTTCATACGTTTAGACACAACCTAAAGCCCACATAAACTATACTAAATTATTGGTTTCATTTAAGGATAGAAAAATCTTCTGAACACTAATAGATTAAAAGGGCTTACGAGAGATACTGCAATATCAAAAGACTTACGTGGGTTTTTTGTATTAATGCAATATAGACTGTAATGATGAATGTAACACGTAGGTAATCTATCGATGTTGTTTGATAAAGAAAATAAAAGTATTATGTATTCATGTGCATATCGAAACAATGTTTGGCTTGCGTGCATTCAACCGTATACGTGGGATAAAGCAAGATCATATTTTAATGAAACAGATAGGCTTTTTCATCACATAAATATTATGATTCTTTTGCTTGTTCTATCGTTTATCGATCAGATAGCTTGAATAATGAAGAGAGAGAGAGCTAATCGATGGTTGCAAAAATGTGCATAATATCACGGTTTTGTTTTTATTTTTTCTTCTATCGTTGCATAGAACAGGTAAAATATACAAATTTCACAAGCAATAGTACATTGCTTTATGTCGTCGATCGTGTTAAAACTGAGGTCAACGGTCTCTCCTGCCTGTGACAGAAGGTATTGGCTTCTAAGGCCACTTTTGGAACCATTTCTTGTCCATACACATTTTCCTCGTCAAAAATCGACATTTGGATGAAGTCTTGTCCTCAAGATCGGTTTTGATCCTCATAGAAACTGAAGAGTCATTTTCAAAAGCTGCCTCGGTTAGCATCATCATGTATCAGAGCTTCCGACCTGGTTAAATTTTGGTTGTCTACGTTATTTTATTTATATTTTTTTCCAGTAGTCATATTGAAAATGGTGATGGCTACAAACTAGTGATTTCACGCATTTAATTCTCGATTTATCATTGGTGAGTTGTCTATCGGTTCAAACCAATGAATGAATGAATAGAATAATAGAATAAATAAATAAAACACAGAATGCAATAATATTCACGAAATTTTTATTTCAAGATATTAGAATATCAACTTGTTTTGTTGTTTTAAAATGCTCATCTTTTTTTTTTTAATAATTTTTATAGGTACTAGCATAGGTGAAACAATGCCAACCGATGATATTCATATTTTATCATCTTCTGATTCACGTATTTTAATATCATTAAATGTAACTGATCCATCATCGTCATCAAATTCATCATCAATAGAACTAACTTCATGCTCAATTGAACGTATTTATTATTTATTGAAAACTGAAAAACAACAATGTAGTATTATCAAAAATAAAATTTCACCACCTGCTGTTTTTTTTTGGCCTGTATTTGGTTTTCCAGCTGAACTTAACAAAAAAACTGGTATTTTTGAGATAATTAATGGACATACAAGTTGTAAAAAATGTAAGAAAACTTTTGTTTATGGTTCAAATAGTGGAACAAGACATATGAAGCAGCATCCATGTGTTACTGATCTCATAACTCAATCAACATCGTCATCAAAAGATGTGTCAATGACACAAACGATAATTGAGAAAAACACTGGTTGTTCGTAAAACATTAACTGCTGAACAATCAAAGACGATCAAAAACTTAATTTTATGTTGGACATGCAATGATATTTGTCCTGTTTTTATCACTGACCACAATGGCTTCGAGCACTTGTTCAAGAATGTAGAAGATTAGGTATGGATATTTTGTATTTAGTATGTGCTAAATACATTTTTTAGATAGTATTTATGGTAAAATTGAAGTTAATGATATTCTTCGTTGTCGTTCAACAATTTCTAGTCATATTCAAGTTATGGCTGAATCCTGTCATGCACGTATTAAAAACTTTTTGGAAGAACCCTACAAGAATGGATCCTTACCAATATCACCTGATTTTTGGTGCAACAAATAGAAACAAATTTGTTATCTTGGCGTTATGGCAGTTGTTGTAGATAAAGATTATAAATATTATGTACTTGATCGATTTTGTAAACAATTTCAAGAATATGAAAAAACTAGTGAAAATATATTAATTATAATTTTATTTTTTTACAAATAAAATTATGTTAATTTGATCTTTTTTTACGTAGACTCGAGAAAAAGAAAAGAAAATGTTTAGAAATATATTAGCTCTGAAGTAAAACAGAGTAACATCTATTAAAAATAATCATCTATATTCTGAATGTATTCCGTGGAGAATGAATGGCGACATAGGGAATTAAAAGTAAAAGAAGTGTCAACACATAATTACATCATTCAGAAATAGTTCTAATGAAAATATTTGGAATCAACGAATTATCAACGATTCATATAGTTTGTGACAGAGGTTCAAATTTTTTTGAAAGCTTTTCAACATCTGAATCCGATTTCTTGCTATGGGCACCGACTTAATAACGTACCCAAATGATCATTTTTTCAACATCAGAAACAATCGACAACATCATCAGCTGTTTGTCTTAAGAAAACATCTGAAAGTGATGATGATGATGATGAATTGCGTTGTGTTCCTTCCAAACCAGCAAAAAAAAAGAAGAACGTAAATTTTTGTGTAAAGGTTGGAGAAAAAAATGCAATGAAAACAAAACTTGTTGATGCTCCACCTGCTGCACAACGATGGATTAAAACCATAGTTGAATGAAAATCGTTAGCAAAATATATTAAGAAAGTAAGTGTATTAGTTCTCGCACTTAATAGATCATACCAAATATTAAATTTTAATTAGCTCGGTCTCAATAAAGGGATTCAAGCAGCTAGTGGTCTTCCAATACGTTAAGCTATCATTATTCGATGGCTTTCATTAATCAGTTTGCTTAAGAGTATTAATTCATCATTCATACAAGTAAAAGTGGTGTTAGGCCATGTACGATATCTTGAGCCTTGATTCGACTATTCCGTAACTGGATTCGCTCACAGTTGAGACCAAAGGTTAAACTTTACGGACCAATATAGAGCTCAACGATTTCTATCCCATGCAGTATTTACTTTTTCTGCAACACTATTACAAGCCCGAAAAAAACCTAAAATACTGTAACAAAATCAGCAAAAAATCCAATTTTTTTCGTAGAGTGCACCGCGATTCGCACTAAGTTAGGACCAAAGTTGAAAACCCGTACAAGCAGATACAACTCAATGAGATCTATTCAATGAACACTTCCAACAAATTGAAAATACTTCCATCTCCCCTAAAATCTACCTATGTTCAGAAAACCTGGTCTTTCAATGAAAAACCGCACCGGGATTCACCCTTAACTGGGGCCAAAATCTGAAGACGCCATAGATCGATAGGTCTCGGCGAGCTCTATCCACCGACCACCTTTGAAGATATTTCGAATACTTTCATCCCAAGCAGACAAAAATTTCAAAAAACGCGTTTAAACGCACAGTCGGGAACCGCGACTGTGATCCATTCACGCTCATTAAAAAAACGCAAGAAACGACATTTTTTGTGCAAAATAGTCAATTTTCAAGCGTGAAAACGGCAAAAATATAAAAAACTGAGCGTTTAAACACGTCATTTTTTAAATCTAGAAAAAGAGAACGTTTTAACACTAGAAATTTAAGTTTTCCACCGTTTTCACGCTTGAAAAGTGACTATTTTATTCAAAAAACGTCGTTTCTTGCGTTTTTTTAATGAGCGTGAATGGATCACAGTCGCGGTTCCCGATTGTGCGTTTAAACGCGTTTTTCGAAAGTTTTGTCTGCCTGGGTAACGAACTGATTATCCTCCGACCATTGAGCATAACTCGTCTTACTATGGATTGCTGTCTCAATCATGCTCGATGCGCTTGGTGTATCAGCATATTCGAAGTCAAATGCCCACCAACCGGCTACTTTTTCGTGCGGTGTCCGAGGTATCCATCCTTGAAGGCTTAGACCTTGCGCGAATGACAGATCTTCCAGTCCCAATGCTAATCTTTTCTCTGCATCGTCTACAACTTGATCAAATTTATCAAATGCTTGATTTATGATGTTCGAATAATTGGTCAAACCATTTTGATCAAAAGTCAGTAAGTCCTCATAATCAGTGTAAATGTTCATGAGTTTGTGTTTGTTCGCCAATGTCCATATTGGATTTTCTTCTCCAGTTTCATTATTTCGTATACCTTGGATCCAACTAGGACCTAATTCAATAGTATATCCTCCGAATTTTGTTTCTTTCATTCGCCCTCCAAGAATCGATTGTGCTTCAATAATCAAAAAGTCTGAAATACCATTTTCTAATAGAGTGCTAGCGGCAGTCATACCAGCCATTCCGCTTCCAAGAATGGCAACCTTTGTTCTAATGACTCGAGTACCGCACAAATTGATAAAGCCCATCACTAACCCCAAGCCAAGATGGATGTTTTGTTTGACTTTCATGCCAACTGAAGTTAGGTGACGCTAAATAATACTTTTCTACAATTGGGAGAAAGCATGATGAAGTTAAAATATGGTGGCAAATAAACATAAATGATTAATCGGTTTGTATTCGTTAGAAGCGATGTTCTGAGTAATTCTGACAGGTCTCACCATGAATATGCAGTCTGAAGCAACATTTTAAATTTTTGGCTTAGGTATCTCGCATGAAAATCTAAGTTGTAAAACTTCGAAATTTAAAAAAAAATATCTTTGTCCAATTTGTCTATCTCCAAGGTTTTCTTCTTTTGGAAATCTGAAAATACCTCGCGGGTGTGTATGTGGGTTGACAAGGAAATACATACATCCACACCTCTGGTCTTTAGCCAGGGAAGAAAACATCATTGAACACTCTGTACTAAAAACATGGAAAGTCAGCTTTCCTTATCAATGGTGGATATGCGACGTTGAGTAGCCATATTAATAGATTTGGTTTCAATGACCGACTGGTTCATTGCGAGAGCAACTTAGGGATTTGTATTGCCTATTACGTAAATGGTTCTAGTTTTGTACCAGTTTCTATCAGTCAGGTTGGTATCGATAGCAATCCTGCAAGTATTAGCCTGATCACATATATGAACAAAAAGTATAATAAAAACTCTAGCTGTTAAGCGAAGAAAGAAATGAAGACTATGCCACTGATTTAATGATGTGTATTGAGTCGGTATGAAAGTTCTGCCGGCTCGTGTATCAGCGTGCCAGTAAGATCAGTGTTGATTGCTAATTTACAATCGGATATAATCAATGTGTATATTACTCGATGTCATGTGTTGTACAATGCGGATATGTACAAAATGAAAGTAAATGGAGATTGCTAGGATATACTGTACATTTTATATTGTTGTGTCATGATACAATCAAATAAATATGAATAAGATCCAAAGGTGGTCAATCGATAGAGAAAACCAAGCTTTTTGGATCTATGCAATGGTTAAGACTTTGAATTTCTTTGATATGATCCTAACAATGGAATGGCTTGTTCTATTAGTTAAAAAGATTGATCATGTTCGGATCAAACGATCACCCTCATCAAGAAACTGATGAATTTAGAATATGAACTACCCATAGCGTACCTAGGCAGAGATATTCAGTTTTTAAGCTATGCACGGTTTTGGTATAGAATCATGATAATACTTAGGATATACAAAAAGTAATGACGCCAGTCCTATTATACTGTATAGAAAAGTTCAGCAGAATTTCTCCTTATATTCCCGACTTGGAGTATGGTGCTATTAGTACTGGCTTTAAGTGACAAATAATGATTTTGTTACAATATGGACGAACGCTTTCACTCTATTTAAGATGATCGAAAATCTAGCTATTCATTGGTAGACATAGAACTGCTACTCAATTCATTAGATAGGCTGTCTATTCCACTTATAAAAGCAACCTTCCTTAAAAAAAAAGGCTGCTCATTAGTGCTTTTGTCATTTGTTTGTAACAATAATCAAGTGTAAAGTAATCATTTTTTGAAGAAATTGTTTCTTGAACAAGTATTTCTTATGATTGTACTTCTGTCTACTTTATGAGTACGAGAATGCGCTGTTTCTCATTTATATTCTAATTATTTTTACTAGTGAAAGTAGGTGGAAAATAAAAGTTGATTATTGCATACTTGTTGAAGATGTTATTGTTGATTTCAACATAATTGTAAGTATGATAGCCACAATTATGCAAAGAACCAATAAACTAAGTGAAAGCACAATTAGAAAATCACTTTGATTGCAGAACAGAGGTCTTGTTTCTATTCGTTTGTTGTATACAAACAAATAGGCAGATAGATTTTATATAATATTTAATTAAAGAAAACTATTTTGTTTTATAAAAGAATTAATCACATTTGTTCTATCTATTTTCGTTGTATTTTGCTGTTCAGATACTGCTATCATTGAATGATTTAGGTTGATATGTAATCGATGGCGAAACCAATGATAGATTGAAGATCACTCGCTGCATTAATGATAAGTTTTTGTAACTTCTTTTGATTTGATGTAAATTGCGAATGCAAAGAATGAAAAGTTTGATAAAAGAGACCTTTATTTATTCCAATGGAGATTCTAACGAGATCTAAAAATCTTATTACAGACTACCAACTGATATTAATCAGCGACAAACTTTTCGTATATAATCAAGACATTATCAGCATAAATGACAAATAGCAGGAGATTCAGTTTGGATGTGCTCTTATGTGTTGGCTGCCTTGATTCTATAATTTTCGGAATTTGACGTAGTATCCCTTGTAATGACTTTAGTCCAAAGTTAATGCTGTGGATATCAATACAATAAGCTATAAGAGTGACTATGGCGGTTGTTATAAGTACAAACAGGGGTTGAAGTAGCAGTTATGTGTTTAAGTAATTCTACCGACTCTCGAGTTAATTTTATTGTTTTTTTTGACTATTTGAGCATTTACTTATATCATTGATGAAAAGATTGTGCAAATAGTCAATAGGCTTCAATCTCATGTGTTGTATTTTTTTCTTCCTATTAAGATAGACCCCAGAAAGTAAAAGATCACGATGATGAAATCACGAGTAGTAAATATCATATTCAGATATTGATATACGTTTTTAAATTGCATGTCATAAAGAGACTTGTTTGATATTTTGATATACTTATTTTGAAAAGGGAGATAATACAATGTGCCATAGCACACTTTTCAAAGCATTACATGAATTACTGTCTTTCACTTCGCACACAAATTCATATAACATTTCACTTGTATCTATGTACGCTTGTTCTGCTTCCTTTCTTTCCTTCGAGATTATTTCTCATTCATCAAAATTAAATGCATCTGAGATTAATTGTGAACTTGTTAAACTGTATTGAAGAATAATTCCTTCTATTATATTTATCTTGACTAAAAAAAAGAATCATTTTTCTACATTAGTTTTTAACACATTCGAGACGATTCAGTTTTGCTTTAACAGATTCATTTTCACGTGCATTCACGGTCAGATAAACGCGCTCGTTGACTTTTTTACTGTGTGTTGTCAGTTATTTTTCTTTTTCTTATATGTATTGTGCAGTAGAAACAAAATAACGAGACAAAATTTCGATAATTTTGCTTTTGCATACTTTTCGTAGCATTATCTTTGACTCTTTTATCTCGTATGTATAAAAACAACTGAGATTTTTCGATGATTTACATGCAATTTGAAGAAACCGATACAGACAACAACGGTAATTCACTGAATGATGTGAGTGCTTCAGATAATGATTTTCCTAGAATACAATTTGAATCTTCAAGTTCCGAGGGAGGATACGTATGGGTATGCTCGTGAAGAAGAAGATCCATATTCACACCCTAAAGTCGGTAACAGTAGGCGGATCATTGCCGATAGATCGACTATTACGGCTACGTCTCTATTTCTTTTCATGCTCATATTATCTCATAGAGGATATTTAATGAAACTTTGCGGAAAGTCGACTACCTTGAATATCACTATCTATAGATGGAGCAGTACAACAACTCATCAGTGCACTGCTGGTATCAACAGTGAAAGCTCCAGACTGATTCAATCTATAATATATGGTGATTTTATATTATTATAGTATTTATAAGGTTTAAGGAAAATCAATCAATACTGTTGCTTGATGACAAACAAGTTGGAAACATATTTCAAATATTTTGAGTGTTTTATTTCAACTTAATCTAAACACAACACTACTGGACAAAATGCATTTGATATATTATAAATATAGTTATTATATAAGAAAAATCACCTCGCAAATTTTTCCATTATGAGTAAGGAAGGTTTAGACTGAAAGTAAAATAACATTAGACATTCATCATCGTATAGCATAACTGTATGAATGTTATTCTCACGTACGGCAGCGAGACCAATAATATATTCTATATATATATATATATGTTGGAAGAAGATCACAATGACTAAACGTGAAAAATAATCATTAGACATAAACATTTTTAATAGCAACCATATTCATATTTTCGATCTGCCAGATGAAATTCTACGTGGCACTTTCAATAAACTGAATATAGCTAATATGTTCTATTCATTAGTAGATGTAAATCAGCGATTTGATCGACTAGTACTTGGTACTCTCTATATTCATCATCTCGATTTTGTGGCTAAACAATCTGATATTCATTATTTTTTGGTACATACTCAGATTCTCGATAGAATTTGTGAAAAATATCTAAACTCGAATTAATGAGAAAGTATAAGAATTGATTATTGTTCCATTTTCTATGAATTGCATTCTTGGTGCTATTCATTATCCTCAACTATATTTATTATCATTGGTTCGTTATCAATCAGAAATACTCAAAGGACATTTATTAAGTATGACTATGAATTTGATTTGACTTCAGTGATTACTGATATTTTCGTTGACATTTAAGATGATATCTTCTGACATTTTTTGAGGAATCAAATAACACATCTTACTGTCAACATGTATACTGAAAAAAACAAAATAGCTAATCGAGATAAACAAAATATTTTTTTAATGATACCAATTAGTATATCTTTTGATGATTGTCTTTATCTTCTTAATGGATGTCTCCAATCTTTACCTACATTGATTTATTCATATGAATAGAATTACTCGTTCATTATCGAACATAGAACATACAATAAGTCTAAATATGATTATTTACTATAAACAACGATTTATAAGTTCCACGATGGCTTTTGACTAAAGAACGAAGCATATGTAGGTTTGTAAAGGAAGACATCAGCATATTTTTAATTTCTATTGCGTGCTGTAGAGAATCGATTGGTACCCCAGCTTCAGCTTACCTATGGCAAAACACAATGAAAGTACTACATATGTCCCGTTCTTTGATAAAACTTTTATGGTCGCCTTTGTCTTTGAAATTTACTGAT